TTTTTCTACACACATTTTTTCTTTATTTTTTAATATATTTACAATTTATTTTTATTAATTTTCATTAAGTTCAGATTATTCCATTGCAATAGTAGGTTTATTCGCGTTGCATGTTTTAATATGTTCCTACAGTTCTAACAGCTCTTACTCCAATTTGTTGAAACGCGAAATCTAGTGAGTTTTGACAGAAGAAAAACAGGATGAAAAGAGAAAGAAGTTTAGGTGGTAACTATGCTATGCTAGGTAATTTACTTATTTTACATATGCGCACTCTATTTTGGCCAACACTAGCATGCACTAACATCAAATGTGCCGACAGAGAGTTGCGCTACTGTATATATTATATGTTATACTAGAGTTGCTCGGACTGGCTCGGAATATCAATTTTCGGTCTTCGTGTTTTCAATCTTCGTTTATATCGGTAAAAACACGTAATCATCAATCACGAACAAATGTTGTGCGTCAGTTCCACAAATTGTATGTTTTCGTAGTACAATCAATGATATGTCAATATTTCTGAGTGCATATAAATTTTGATAAATTGTAATTTGAGGTTATATTGTTACGAATTACACAATATTGCAATTAATTAAATAATACGGCAAAATGTCTGAAGATGAAGTGGAAAGCTTCGAAGTTACTGATTATGATTTGGATAATGAATTTAACATCGCTCGTCCCCGACGCAAACTAACGAAGAAACAACAAATGCTAGGTATGTTAACCTTTGCAAGTATTATTTTTATACTAAATTGAGACAGAGAATCGAAGGAATCGAAGAATTGGAAATGATTTGAAACACAATACTTGATATATTCTTTATTAATAACAAACTTTTTCAATACTATATACAAAAATACACTATATACATACAATTATTATGTTCTTTTAGGTATAGTTTATTTTTTCATAACATATATTTTGTTATAAACAGGAATATGGGCAGATGATAGTGATGAAGATGAATTATCTGCCAGACCATCTTTTAAAACTTTTAACAAGGGTCCTAAGAATTATACAGCACCAGTTAATTTCGTCGCTGGTGGTATCCAACAAGCAGGACAACCAAAAGAGAAGGAGGCTAAAGAGGATGAAGAAGATGATGAAGAGACAAGAGATTCTCAAACAAAACACAGTAGCTCGAGGTAAGAAATTTAAACATAACTATTTTTAATATAAATATATTTTTCTTCCTTAATCTTTATTAGGGTGAATTTATACATATACATATACATGTATATATATATACATATATGATTTTTTTCATTTAGTTCAGAAGATGAGAGATCAAATAATTCAAAATCACGTCCATCCTTCTCTTTGAATTTGGACAGCGACATTGCAGGTCTACGTAAAAAGCGCCATCAAGTGAATCCCTTATTGATGAAAAGTGGAATGGGTAGTTGGGAAGTACATACAAAGGGCATTGGTGCTAAATTATTGCTACAGGTATTTTACAAGCAATGTCTTATTTATTGTAAATCAGAGTAAGATAAAATAAAGTAGTAAATTAATAAAAAAACATTTTTTATTTAGATGGGATTTGAACCTGGTAAGGGCTTAGGTAAACAACTACAAGGAATAAGTGCACCAGTAGAAGCACATCTCAGAAAAGGAAGGGGTGCAATAGGTGCATATGGTCCAGAAAAAACACCAAAAATTCCTGAGAAAAAGAAAGATGATGATGGAGAGGAAACAAAAGAATCCAAATCTAAAGTATCTCAATGGCGGAAGGGTGACAGCAACAAGAAAAAAATCAGATATTGTTATAGAAGTGTAGATCAAGTTTTGGAAGATGGAAAACTGAAACCTAATAAAAAATTTCCAGTATCAAGCGATATGAGTAGAGTTAAAGTTATTGATATGACAGGACCAGAACAAAGAATTCTTAGTGGATACCATGCAATAGCTGGTGGTCAGCAGTGTCCTGATGAGACTGTAATTACGTCTGATAAGAAATCTAAAGTGAACTTTGCCCTGCCTGAATTGCAGCATAATTTAAATTTACTTGTAGATATGTGCGAGCAAGATATTATTCAAAATGATCGACGAATGAGACATTTAAATGATAGAGTAATTGCTTTAGAAGCAGAAAAAAAGAATTTATCCAAAGTTATGGATCAACATAGTCAACTTATTGATACTTTGGAAAATGTACTTGTTATTGTAGATAAATTAATGAATGAAACAAACGAATTGTCATTGCAAGAAACTGCAGAGGCTTTCAAAAATTTACAAAACAATTATTATGAAGAGTACAAGATGTACGAACTTGGTGAATTAGCTAGTAGTTTCGTGGCGCCGAAAATAAAGGATTGTTTGCTTAATTGGAATCCATTAATACAACCAAAACAACCCATTAAATTATTTGAACAATGGAAGGATATCTTGGAAAATGGAATTACGACATTACAGACACGGACTATGCAGTCATATGATCAACTAGTATGGAATGCATGGATGCCATCAGTTAGAGGAGCCATACAGTAAGTAATTTTTATAATATATACTAATATATACGTATAATATTTTGAAGAAGTAAATTAAAGGATATAAGAAAATATTCACGTTTTTATTATTTATACATCTGTAAAAATCTATAGTTTTAAGTATCTGTACCTTCTAATATTTTTTATTTATAAATTAGACAGTGGACATGTAGACTGCCTGAACCTTTAATTGAATTAATAGAATACTGGATGCCATTATTACCCAATTGGATTTTAGAAAATATATTAGACTTACTAGTGTTACCAAAATTAACATTAGAAGTTGAAGAATGGAATCCTCTTACTGATACTGTACCTATTCATACATGGATTCATCCTTGGTTGCCATTATTACGTAAGTGTGTGTGTGTGTATATATGTACAGTGGCGTGCAAAAGTTTCTAGCCACTGACATTTTATATTCTAATTTCTAAAAAAAGCCTGTAATAAAATTTTAACCATTATCGCGTATAAGTACAAAATGTGGATAACGAAATCTTGTATTAACATCCGATAATAATTAAAATTTAAATTTTCTCTTTTTTTTTTCAATAAATTAGAGTATACAAAATGTCACTGGCTGGGAACTTTTGCACGTCACTGTACATACTTAAATTTATCTTTTAACATGATTTTCATATATTGATTATACAAATGAATTATTGTAATAATAACTGTTTTTATATCATTCAAGGAAATCGTTTAGATACTTTGATTTATCCAATAATACGTAGAAAACTCGGATCTGCATTAGGAGGTTGGCATCCATCAGATAGATCCGCTAGATTAATGTTGCAACCATGGGCAGAAGTATTTGCTAAAGGAGATATGGAAGCATTTTTAGTCAAAAATATTATTCCAAAATTGCAAATAGCCTTATCCGAGTTTGTTATAAATCCACATCAACAGCACTTAGATCAATGGAATTGGGTGTATGAATGGAAGGAATTAATACCTGTTCATATAATGGCAGGATTACTTGACAAATTCTTTTTCCCAAAATGGCTACAAGTTTTAGCACTTTGGCTCAATCATTCGCCTAATTATGATCAAGTAACAACTTGGTACATGGGTTGGAAAGGGATGTTAAATGATAAGTTACTAGCGGAACCAGTAATAAAAGGTACGTCGCATTATTATATTGAATTTACATCTTTTGTTTATAATAGTTGATAATTATTAAATTATAAAACAAATATGATTTACAGAGCATTTTAAGAAAGCATTGGACATGATGAATAGGGCTGTCAGTGGGCCACAAACTCATCAACCTGGCGCAATAGAACAAGTTTCATATTTAACAAGCTTAGAAAGAACTCAGCCAACAATATCACAGGTGGCACCGATTGCACAGCCGAGAATGGAGGTATAGCACATTATCCGTTTAAATTATGCGATGTTAAATAATGGCACAAGTAATATGCATATATTTTTTATAAAATTATGCTATAATTTTCTTACAGAGACTCGCAGAGGCAGTACGAACAGCTTCACAAATACCGCAGGGTTTCAAGGATTTCGTACAAAAGAAGTGTGAAGAGAGAGGTATATTATTTATGCCGATTCCGAATAGATATAAGGAGGCTAAGCAAGTGTACAAAGTGGGTAATGTTCAGGCTTACATTGACAGCAATGTCTTATTTGTATGTCATAATGGTACAAATTGGATGCCAACGCATTTGAATGCCTTGTTGGATATGTCTGAACTTTAATAATATATGGTTTAATAACATGATTAATAATGATAATAATGATTGTTCAATGCATGTTTTATATTGTGTTTATATTGTAAATACATATATTTCTTCTAAATATTATGAGAGAAAAAAGAGTTGATTAATTATATCATTTAATTTAATTTTATCATTTTATATCAATTCATGATGTATATTTAAATCTATGTATTTATGCTTAAGCAATATGTATCATTTTTGTCTTATTAAAGTATAATAAATCAATATATTTTGATATGCGTTGCATATTTTTATTACTTTCTAAAAGCACTTATTAAATTATATCTTATTAAATATATCTTATTAAATATATCTTATTAAATATATCTTGTAAAATGTAAGATAAACACAGCTCGTTTTAGTAATTAAAAATTAATCAATAAAACCATTTTGATCCATATGTAGGTACATTATCAACTTCTATTCAGTTATATGCACGTATAGACGTCTCACTAAAATAGTTCACTTCCATAGATTGAAAATTTTAAGCAACATTTGCATAGATATTAATAAATGTCTATTATTTTAAAAAACCTATTTAATTTTAGGAAATCGTACACATTATGGATTTTCTTATTTGTTTTGATATTATGCATTATAACGTGAAAATTAGTAACTTTTATTTACATGTATAACATGTGTATACTTTTATAATACTCGAATTTTATTATTTGTAATTTAAACGTATATAATTAAATATAATAATTACTAAATAAATTAGATATTGAAGTTAAGTTATAATTAAATAACAAAAAAATCTGATTATACATATCTGTGCAAGAGATGTAAAAGATAATAAAAGTACATATTCGGATGGAGAGGTTAGGCGAAAAGATTCGGTTTCTTGGCGTTAGAAAATTAACGTATAAATCGACAAATTTATTAGGAGTGTAAGAAGTTATCAGAGATATCTAAGCGTCATGACGGCAGCGGCGTTGTCTTACTTATCACCGAAAGCAAACGTGCGATTTCAATTTCGTTATCATATTCTACATACATCTCAGTGCGCATAAAGCCGGTTCTACATTAGTTGCAAGTTTGTTGCGCCAATCTGAAGCTCGCATTTTGAAATCAACGCTTCATATTGGCTATCGCAACAAACTTGCGATCGGCTTGCAACTAATGTAGAACCTGCTTAATATGATACCATACCTCGTATAAGTTATTTGAAACAATAATCAATAATTATTTAAATAATTAATATTGAACTTTGAATAATATTGAACTTTCATTTAAAATACTAATTAAACAAAAGTGGAAACTTGATGTTTGTATGAAAGATTGAAAAATTATAAAAATGAAATAGATAGTAAATTCGGATGAGGTAAGATAGACGAGAGTCACGTTTCTCGAGGTTGGAAATCTCAGAAAATAAATCCGAAGTAACAGGAACGCAAGATAGCGAGAAGGTAAGGCGAAGAATCGGGTTTGTCGGCGTCCCGAAAATCTCGAGAAATAAATCCAGAGTAATAGGAGCGCAAGATAGCGAGAAAGTAAGGCGAAGAATCGGGTTTCTCGGCGTCTCGAGAATCTCGGAAAATAAATCCGGAGTAATAGGAGTACACGTTAGCAAAGAGGTAAGGTAACTTCTAACAACCTTCTCACTTATCCTGCTTTGCTAATACTTCAGGCGATTTTTCGACGTCAAGAAGCGTGATTCTCGTTTATCTTAGCATCCAAATTTACCAATTTTATTGACTTACAATACTTTTATCATTTTTTTAACTTTACACTGGAGATAAGAAATATACATAAATATAATCAATCATTCAATTTTTTATTTATATAATAATTTTGTATGTAGCGTTTTTTCACACACAGCTTTTTATATATCTTTTATTATATATATATAAAT